ATTATATATTATATATTATTATATATGCTTATATGAAGTCAACAGTCGATCGCATTTAAATCAGTCATGAACATCATTTTTGATACTGTATTTCAGCAGAGGACCCCGCCATCATCATTTTTTTCATACTCACACTTGAAAACTTTTACGAAATCGTATTCATTAACCATTTTGAGAGGGTCGTCCCCTCACATTCCAGATTTCTTTGGAATTAGTAGACTGCTGGACGATCTTAGGTGGCATCGGAAATTAATTAAGCTTCAAATAGAACGTATATGTTTTACCAGAGTACACCAAGAGCACACACGCAAGACGAGTGACCATTATTTTTTTTCACAATGTAAACGAAGGGGGTGGCTAGCCACTGACCTATTCATCCCCACACCCATCCGCCAATAACAGACCAGTAAGTACTGTAAGTACATCTGAGCATGTAGAAAACAAAAACAAAAAACAACTTAATAATCACTTTACTGCACAAAAGAAGAGACAGGAGACAAATAAACCAGGACATTATTTGCCACAACATTTAGTCTGCTTTATCAAGGCCTTCGCCCTGCATCCCCGAATACAGATTTCTGTATGCACTCGCCATAACCATGACTATAATTGGGTTAGAACCGAGGAATTGGGTTGTCCACCACACCTCCAACAACTGAAACTGAGGTTGAAATACTGTAGAGGGCAGCAACCATAAAAGTGGTCGATCATTACTTTTTTTTTGTACAAGGTTTTTTTTCGAAAGTTAAAATTACCTTTCTCGAAAATGGTATCGCCTAGGCTATTCTTTGCATGTAACGATTTTGCAATATCTGGCTGCTTTTTGCAATGCGTGGCTGACCTAGCCTCGCTGCCGGTCTGCAGCAGGATGCAATTGGTTTTTCAAGGCGTCTGCATAGAGAGTTATGGGCTTGAATCCCGGTTGGGGCATTTTTTTTTCCATTCACATATTCCATTTTAATGTAATTCGCCATACCATCTGTAGTTTCCTTATGAACGATTAAAAAATATGTATTTGACCCCATTTATAAAAAGAAATCATGGAGTATCCTTAGCAATGACAAAGCACATAATTAACTAAGGCTTCTTTTCTGAGTGACATTATAGGCCTTAATTGTTTTTTTTTGTTTTTTGTTTTTGTTTTTAGATTACTCCGTGCGATTAGTGACTGATGACAAAGAGAAGTTTTTGGACAGCGGATTCTTTGTATACTACTTAAATTTCACCTGGTATAAAGTGCACTCACACACTTATAAATGGGACTTCTTATGTATGGAGTATGGCTTTGCTAAAAAAGATAAACATGAGAGGAGGAATAATAGGTGAGTTGGTACAATTAATTTATTTTAAACCACATCCAAAAGCAAGCACATCACTGCGATGGAATATAAACAATTTGTTATTAAATAATGTCATAGTTTAACTGTTAACAGGCAATGATCGTTGTGCTCGAGAAAATCGCAGTTAAATATAGTGATTAACCGTATCCATCATCTCAATTCTGGAAGCTCTTCTGCCATTACCCATTGTAAACCAGGGGTGCCTTCAGGAGTTGCACGACGGCGGGTGTCCAATGTTCCCTACGGGGGTAAGGGAATGGGCGCAGATCCTGGGGACAAGTCCCCCACATATATTTACGGGGGTTAGTCCCCCTCACGTTTGGTCCGCTATGTAAATTCATAAGTCAAGAAAATGACTGAAAATTGTTGAAATGCCCTACATAAATGACCAAATTTAAACGAAAGACCGTTGTACAGGCAGAGAAAAACTTATTTATAGCTAGATACCGGTGTCTCTGCCCACAAATATCTGATCTAAATATAATACATGACTCGCTTGCACTTACTTTTATTATAATTTGTAAAGTATGAGAAAAAGCATGTAAAATTGTTTTTTCCCCCGACATTATTAAGTAGATAAAGTTAACTAAACACATAAAAGACAATGCTTTATTTTCTGTAGTACATTTCAGCGAATATTAGATCATTTTTTAAAAATAAAACTTTCTACGGTACATCACACATATTAATTCGATCTCTATGGTTGCCGAAAATCGCTAATATACAGTAAGTTTATGAGAAATATGTTAGCCCTTCATTTTGCCTCATGTGATGATGAAAGTTACTATATATATATATATATAAAAATACACATCT